AGCCAGCGCCCTGTCTCCTTTCTTTGACTTCGGGGCTATCATGACTACTGAACATAACAATTGCCATGGCCACATCATCCTCGCCTCGCACTTATTAAACATGTCCACGATAGCTTGTCTTCCTTCTTCTGGTAGACGCCGTATGTCACTACATGAGACTTTGTCCACTCCTTGTCCTTTGTCTGGTTCTCCCTTCAGCGCGATATCCAGGTCATTGATCGTCCATACCTGCGGATCCTCCTGCTGCGCCACTCTCCTGAGGTACTCGAGGTTTTGGCAGTGTCTCACGTGTGGGTTGCCAGGGTCTTTCCAGGTGGCCTTGAACGTCTCCGCCTTTAGGTCCACGGTCTCTGTGGGGCAGCATGTCACTCCGCTTGGGGTCGCAATTTCTTCCTCACGCCGTACAGGAGGTTTCGTGCTCTTATGTAGTATGCCTGGTCCTTTTTCTGCCATGGCCAGCCATTTAGCATATGTGCGAGCTCCTTCTCGTAGGTCTCGCTGTACTGCCGCTTGCCTCTCATTCTCCGCCTGCCACGCCATACCTTCCAAAATCTCTGTGTCCACGCTTTTCAGGTCTCTCATGCGCTGTGTCCATATTGCTCTATGTAGCTCCGTCGTCGGCGTCGCGTTGCCAGCTCCTGGTATTCCTTCAAGTACCAGACGTCTTGCTGCCTTTGCGAGCGTGTCGATTTGCCTTTCCGCTTTACCTTTCTGTCTGTGTTTGAGCATCTTGTTAAGGATCGCCTCCGTTCTGCTCCACCAGTCCGCCCTCATACTTGCATATCTTGTCCGTCGTACCCCTTTCTCTCGTATGTTGACCGTCTCGAACGATGTAGCTTTCCCTCTCCCTTTATAGTATTCGCGGTCCTCCAAGTCGATCTTGTAGCACATGCAGTAGAACGTCTCCAGTGCATTCATGGTTCTGCTGTACGTACTGGCCAATGCTTTTGCGCCTTCTGGGTCCGACTTGTAGGCCGCGCTGTCCGCGATGAAGGGTGGTGGTTCGTCTGCTTCGTCTCTAGCGTGAATGAATGCTGCTGCTTTCCATACGTCGTTCATGACCGTGGTATCGATCTTGGGCGTTGCCTCCATCGTGCGGTCCTTGAGTGTTTTGGTCGCCCCGCTGCATGTCCCTGCCAGTAAGTTCGGCCCGCCAGCTTCTTGCGAGCGGGAGTGACCATCACTTTCATGGTCCTTCTCGCTCGTATATAACATCTCCTGCCCGTTCGTGTCGCTGCCCCTCTCGTCGTTCGCGTCGCCGTACGTCGCCAGGAACTCCGTTTCCCTGTCCCGCTCGTAGCGTGCCATCTCCTCGAAAGTGTCTGCCTCTCCACTGTCACCGTTTTCCTCATACTCGGCTATGTCATCAAATGGGTCGGCTTCTTCTCTGTACATGTGTTCAACTGCTTTGCTGCAGCCACTGCTCACGTGAGGCTCCATCCTCACGCTCTGGCCTTGGTAATCATATCCACTTCTTGCTCCAATATGTGTTTGCCCAGGCGAGGTCCCCCGACTCTGCCACTCGCTGTGTTCGCGGTTCTCATGGCATCCGCGGGCTGAGCCCTCCCCCTCGCGTTCAGTCTGTCGGTTTCCCAGGGTATGGGTCCGCTCTGTGAGTTGCGAGGTCTTGTCTGCCACAATGTTGGTCACGTAGTCCGCGTCATGCACTCTGGGCTCGTCAGGTACCTCCGCCAATGGGCCCTTCATCCCGTCCTGCATCTTCGGGTGCTTGCTCCAGCCCTCTGGCCCCAAAGCTTCCCACCTCGCACAATCCAGGTCTCTTTCTCTGTTCTCCGCGATTGCCTCGAAGTTGGTGAGGTCCTCGTGTCCTGCTGCAGCTGCCACTTCAGCTTGCAGCCTCGCTTGTGACGCTGTCTTCTGCCGTTGCCTCTTGCTGTTCGGGTTGGGTGTCTTCTTGGGTCTAGGTGGGTGTGGGAATGCTGTCGGGAGCTTCAGCTGCCTGCACTTCGTCGATACCCCTTCTCCGTACAGCTCTATCTTCAGCGCGATGTGTGACTTTCATGGTACGTCGTGGATGGGCTCGATGCTCTTCACGAGTTTCTCGGCCCTCGAGTCCACGATGACGAAATCGATATTCGACTCCGCCTCTCCGAGGAAGCACGTGTTGTCGCCCTCTGGGACCGTGATCGCTGCCTTCGCTCCCAAAGCGTTGGCCCAACCCGACCTCCAGAACTCTTCAGGCGTGTGGTTGAAATCTCCGCAGATGAGCCACGCCAAGTCCGTAGCCTTCACAAAAGCTGCTACTGATGCTAACTTCCTTGAATTAATACCCTCCTGAAGGGAGGAATTTGCGTCCAAATAGATACTGATAACCAATAATGTGACTCCTTTCATGTGCCATGCCACTGTCGTCCAGTCGCACATGTCGTAGTCGCACTGCTTCTCCTTCAACATGCTCATGGTTGCCTGAGATACCTGGTCTCTGGCTGCATGTCTGAAGAACGTCGCTTGGTGGTGCCCCTTCATCAGCATGGCTGTTCCCCCACATGAACCTGCTGATGATCTCTTGCTCCTTCGAGCCCCCGTGAAGCAAGCCTTGAAGCCCTCCCTCGTCAGCTTTGCTTCAATGTCTTCGATCTTGTCGACTGTGACGTGTGTCTCCTGTAATGCGTAGGCGTCGAACTCTCTTCTGTTCGCCGAACGCATGAGCCACGTGTGCACAGTCGGTCCCCATGTCGTTATGCTGGCGACGCACAGGCTGCGCGTACGGGGGCCGCCGTCGTCGCGCTTCCGACGGCCTCCCTGCACTGCAACCTAGCTGGTTGCATCTGCCCTTGCTGCTCTTGCCGCCTTCAGGATCTCGTCATTGTCATCCACGTCCGTGGCTTCTTCTTTGATCTCTTCTTTTGGCTCCTGATCTGGCTGCTGCAGCTCCACTTCTGCGCCTCCGTCACTCTTCCTCTTTTTGGCCGCCTGCGTTATTACCGTTCTTTGTTCCGCTGCTTTTGCCTTTGCGATCTCCAAATGCGTCTTCAGCTGGCCCGCGAATGAAGCTGCGTTCGCCTTCAGCTGTGCGACCACCTCCCGTTTGGCCTTCTGTATCGCCATCTTCCCCTCGTCGTCCAGGTCCTCGTCGTTTATGCCCAGGGCTTCGTCCACTTCTCGCAAGTCACCTTCTGCTAGCTCTGCCACGTCCGACGAGAGGAGTTGCGCCAGTACTCCCTATGGTGGTGCATTCTTGCCTTTTGCTTGTATACCTTCGATTTCCACTTCTATGTCGACCACCAGTGCTGCATGCTGATGTACTTCTGCTTTCAGCTTTGCCATCTTCTCCTCTGCCTTCTTTAGCTCCTCCCTTTTCACTCGTAGTTCCTCGTCGCCTTCTGCAGTCTGGTTGCCGCCTCGGCTAGGCGCACCGCTTTTGGCTTCCTTTCTGGTGGTGGTGCTGCCGCCGCTGCTACCTGGCTCGCCATTCCATTCAGCTGTCGTACGATTTGGTCTCCGTTCTGTGTGCCCATGGTCTGCAGAGAATTCGTCATCATGTTCATCGCTGTGGCGAATGTCTCCGCTGCTTTGCCTCCTTTCCCTTTCCATCCTGCACCTCCTTTACCGCCCTTGCCGTAGCCCTTGTCCTTGCCGCTTTCGTGGACGAGCTTCTTGTCAGCGTTGCCGTTCCAGTTTCTCTCCTCGTCCCACTCCAGCTGTCTGACATACTGCGGCTTGGCGATCTTCATGTTGCAGGTGCATGTCCAGTCCATGTTGCACAGCTTGGTGTGGTACCACCGCTCGTTGCAGTGTTTGCAGATCGAGTACCGGTCCTTCATCTGCTGCGCCTTCGTGCCCTTGCCGCCAGTCGAACCTCCACTTCCGCGGCCGCCCATCCTGGGAGCGGCGCTGCCGTGGCGTTCGTCCAGCAGCTTTCTGTCGCGCTCCAGCCTCGAGCGCCTCCTCGCCTCTCCTCTTCGGCGCCGCTCCCTGCGGTGCCAAGCTGGCGAGCGGGAGCGCGCCGCTGCCGCGCTTGCGTCGCCCCTCCGTGGGGCTGGGGGCTATCCCTCGGCGGGCGCCCGCGCCGGGGGCAAAATGCCCGCGGGGCCCGCGCGAAGCCACCCAGGAGGAGGTGGATGAGGAGGAGGAGGAGGAAGAGGAGGAGGATGATGAGGGCGAGCAGAATGGACAGAGGCAGGATTCCGTGATTTTCGGGTGGGATTCGTCGGATCTGAGGAATCGTAAGAGGCAATTCAGGCTCCCCCCCCGTTTCGGTGAAGCTATCGCGCCTCTCGCCACCTGGAAGTGATGTCCCGCCCCCAGACCCCTCAGTGCGGGATCCCACCAAGATCCGAAATCCCAATCAGATTCCAGCAATACCCCACTCGGATCCCAATGAGAGCCCAAGAGGATTGTATGGCTCGATGGTTTCTATGGTTGTCTAAGCCAAGTTTTCGTGGTGTCGATGAGAACCCAAGCAGGATTCCTCTCCTATAGAAGCGCACAGATTTTCTCCTCCACTTCTCTTCTGCCCACCCCCTCGCTGAATCATTAGATCCATTAATTCGTGGGGTGCCATCGATATCGCTCGGCGGTTCCCCCCCCCCGCGGGAATGTGACGTGTCTCACAGGTGCGTGGCCCCTGGAGCTCTCAAGTTCTTCCGTGGGGCAGGCGGTTCCCACAACGAGATTTTCTCTGACGATCCTGGAGCTCGACACGAACGACCTCCCTCCAGTTTTTGAAGGATTTGACGTCCTCGCTTTTCGAGCTGAGAGAGCCCCAGTACAGCTCAGAAAGCCTTTTAAGACTGCCTCAGAGATTTCCAAGACGGCCCCAGAGGGGCCCATACAACGCCAAGACACGCACCGAGACTGCCAGGAGGCCCCCAACAGGCCCCCAAGAAGCGCGAATGGGCCCCAAGAGGCCCCCAGACGCCGCTCTGTGGCCATTTTGGCTCAAGCGGTTCCGATCGAGGCTGTCACATCACGCGGCGGTCTTGTGAGTTGTCACCCCCTGTCAGACTTCAACTCGATCAAGAAGCCCGTCCGACACAATGCGTGAGGCGATTTGCATCCACATTGGGCAGGCGGGTGTGCAGATTGGCAATGCATGCTGGGAGCTTTTCTGCCTTGAGCACGGTATCCAGCCTGACGGCCAGATGCCTTCTGATAAGACGATCGGAGGCGGCGACGATGCCTTCAACACGTTCTTCTCTGAGACTGGAGCCGGTAAGCACGTCCCCCGCTGTGTGATGGTCGACCTGGAGCCCACCGTGGTCGATGAAGTACGTACTGGTACCTACCGCCAGCTGTTCCACCCTGAGCAGCTCATCTCTGGCAAGGAGGACGCCGCGAACAACTTCGCGCGAGGGCACTACACCATCGGCAAGGAGATCGTCGACCTCGTCCTGGATCGGATCAGGAAGTTGGCCGACAACTGCACTGGCCTCCAGGGCTTCATGATCTACAATGCCGTTGGCGGAGGCACCGGCTCCGGGCTCGGCTGCCTGATGCTGGAGCGCTTGTCTGTGGACTACGGGAAGAAGACGAAGGTCTCGTTCACCGTGTGGGCTTGCCCGCAGGTCGCCACGGCAGTGGTGGAGCCCTACAACACTGTGCTTTGCGTGCACTCCCTCCTGGAGCACACAGATGTCACCATCATGTACGACAACGAGGCATTGTACGATATATGCCGCCGCAATCTTGACATCGAGCGCCCTACTTACACCAATCTGAACAGGCTGCTGGCGCAGATCATCTCCTCGCTGACAGCGTCGTTGCGCTTCGACGGTGCTCTGAACGTGGACATCACCGAATTCCAGACGAACTTGGTGCCCTACCCACGCATTCACTTCATGCTCTCCAGCTATGCACCCGTGATCTCTGCGGAGAAGGCGTACCATGAACAGCTGTCAGTGGCGGAGATCACCATGTCCGTCTTCGAGCCCGCATCCATGTACGTGAAGTGCGACCCTCGTCATGGAAAGTATATGGCATGCTGTATGATGTATCGCGGAGACGTAGTGCCCAAAGATGTGAACGCTGCGGTAGCTACTATAAAGACCAAGCGCACCATTCAATTCGTGGACTGGTGCCCCACGGGCTTCAAGTGCGGCATCAACTATCAGCCTCCCACAGTGGTCCCTGGTGGCGACCTGGCCAAAGTCATGCGCGCCTGCTGTATGATCAGCAACTCCACCGCCATCGCAGAGGTCTTCTCGCGCATCGACCACAAGTTCGACCTCATGTACTCGAAGCGCGCGTTCGTGCACTGGTATGTGGGCGAGGGTATGGAGGAGGGCGAGTTCTCCGAGGCTCGCGAGGACCTGGCGGCGCTGGAGAAGGACTACGAGGAGGTTGGCATCGAGACCGCGGAGGGCGAGGGCGAGGAAGAGGGCTACGGCGACGAGTTCTGAGCAGGCTGCCACAGAGCAGCTGCACGAGGGGGGTTGACCGAGGAGTCGCACTCTCGTTGAGAGACGGCGTGCTTCCACGACCTCTCTCAAAGACTTGCGTGCTTGCATGCAGCAGATCGGCGTGTTTTCCATGCTGACTTGTGGCTGCTCACTTGCACGACACATCTTGGCTCGGGGTGGCCGAATTGCCAGACCGCCTCGTGTCCCTGCCACCTTGTCATCGCGCTCGCAGGGAACGCAAACAAAGAGGCCCCCAGACGCCCCCAATGGGCTTGTATGTTCCCCCGTCTTGTATGTTCCCCAATCAGGGCTTGCCTTTGTAGGGGTCCTAGCTGATTCATATGGTCAGGTGAGCTTTGCCACCGATTTCCGCGGCCAGCCTGGGTGCCTGGGTGCCCGGGTGCCCGGGTGCCCTGGTGCCCAGGTGCTGGGGTGCCTGGGTGCCCACGTGTCTTATTGCCCTATAGCCATATAGCCCTATAGCCCTGTAGCCCCATAGCCTTATAGCTCTTTTGCCCTCTATCCCTATAGCCCTATAGGCCAATCGCCCAATAGCCTTATAACCCAATAGCCCAGTAGCCCTATAGCCCTATAGCCCTATAGCCTTGTAGCCTTATAGCCTTGCGGCCCTATAGCCCTGTCGCCCTAGAGTCCTATAGCCCTATGCCCTATAGGCCAATAGCGCAATAGCCCTACAACCCTATAGCCCTATACTATTATAGCCCTATAGCCTTACGGCTCATAGCCCTATAGCCCTTAGCCCTATAGTCTGTAGCCCCATAGCCTTACGGCTCATAGCCCTATAGCCTTACTGTTCATAGCCCTATAGCCTTACGGCTCATAGCCCTATAGCCTGATAATCTTATAGCCCGATAGTTTTATAGCCCTTAAAGCTTTATAGTTTTATAGCCTTATAGCCCAATAGCCCTGTAGCCTTATAGCCTTACGGCTCTATATAGGCCTATAGACCTATAATCCTATAGCCATATAGCCCTATAGCCCTATAGCCCTATGGCCCAACAGCCCTACAGCCCCATAGCCCTATAGCCTAGTAACCCAAGTTAGCCCAATAGCCCTATAGCTCTACATGTGCCTACGGCCCCATAGCCCTATAGCCCCATAGCCCTATAGCCCTACAGCCATATAGCCCTATAGCCCTATGGTCCTATAGCCCTGTAGCCCCATAGCCGTATTTTGAACGAATGTGCGAGGCGCAAAGGCGAGAGCCACATTTTGAAAACCACCCTCCCTCCATACGTGAACCTGTGGCTAATTTTTCAGCTTCAGCATCATGAGTGGCGAGGGAGTCTCAGGCCAAACGTCCGGCTCGCCCTAAAAACTGGCCTCGGAGTGCGACTGGGAGAAGTTCCCCAATCAGAGCTTGCCTCTGTAGGGCTCCCAGCGGACTCATATGACTGGGTGAGGTTTGCCACCGATTTCCGCGGCCCGCCTGGGTACCTGGGTGCCCGGGTGCCCGGGTGCCCGGGTGCCCGGGTGCCTGGGTGCCCGGGTGCCCAGGTGGCCCGGGTGCCCAGGTGCCCGAGTGCCTTATAGCCCTATAGCCCCCTATCCTTATAGCCCTGTAGCCCCATAGCCCTATAGCCAATTTGCTCTATACCCCTACCACCTCATAGTGCAAGAGCCTTATAGCCCTATAGCCCAATAGCCCTATAGCCCTATAGCCCTATCGCACTAGCGCCCCATAGCTCGATAGCCCTATAGTCTCATAGCCCTATAGCCCTATAGCCCTATAGCCCTATAGCCCTATAGCCCAATAGCCCTATAGGCCAATAGCGCAATGGCCCTATAGCCCTATAGCCCTATATCTCTATAGCCCCATAGCCCTGTGCCTTATAGCCATATAGCTCTATAGCCTTATAGGCCTATAGCCCTACAGCCCTATAGCTCTCTCTATATATACATTGCCGTGACAAAAGTATTATGCGGTCTTCAGTCAACATGACTCAAGCCTGGCGGAGTAAACGGAGTGGGCGGAGTAGAAATTACTCCGCGTGGACATGCATCCCGTCCCATCTTTCATGTAGGAATGGGCGGAGTAATTTCCGATCCTGTTTTGAGACAACAATGTTATTAATTAGGTAGACGAATTACTCCGCGGGATCGCGGAGGACGCATGTCAATGTTAGGAATCTTGAGAGGGATAGGATATTCCAACATATCATAAAACCGCATAATCTTTTGTCACGGCGGTGTATGTCTATAGCCCTATAGCCCTATGCCTATAGCCCTATAGCGCTATAGCCCTATAGCCATATAGCCCTATAGCCCTATAGCCCTATAGCCCTATGGTTCTGTAACCCTACAGCCCTACAGCCCTATAGACTCGTAGCCTTATGGCCCTATAGCCCTATAGCCCCAGAGCCCCAGAGCCCCGAAGCCCCACAGCCCTACAGCCCTACAGCCCTATAGTCCTATCCTATGATTCTGTAGCCCCACTGCCCTACAGACCCATGTCAACTTATAGCCCTATGTCCCTATAGCCCTATAGCCCCATGGCCCTATAGCCCCATAGCCCCATCGCCCTATAGCCCAATATCCCCTTAGCCGTATAGGCCTAAAAAGATTATGTTGGGTTTTTCTGTGGTATCATATAGTTATATACATGTATGCGTACACAACAATAGAAAGAATAATATTCAACCACATCGGTGCCCAGGCTATCTTTTAATGTTGTGTACTTGTTTCACTGTTTTACAGGGATGCGTCGATACAGCAATATGAGTACATCATATACTTGTAGATGTGTGCCTCTACATTCTCCGCACGACTTTACATTCCATCTTGAATGTCAGCCGATCTGACACCAGCTATGCTGGCATCGCCTCGCCCCCGACATCCTGTCGCCCAGTACCACGTGGTGCACGCGCGTTGATCTAACAAATGCGTTTTGTCAGAGTCTTTACCACATGCTACCATGTTGCCCATCTGCGCGCGCTCCGTCGTACGCATGCTGACATCAGTACACAATATTTTTTTTATCACAGCTTGTCCGCATATTATCGAATACGTGAAACACATGTTTTTTTTTGATCAGCCAGTCGCCACATATTAGCGCGCCCTTTTTCAAACCTTACGAAACCATTTATTGCATTTTGGCCATGCTGTCGAACAGCCACACGCGCGCACATGTCGAACGCATCCAACCATCATCGCGCTGCCCGCCAATTCTGTGAAACAGTTCCATGTGGGTCATGCGCGCGTGTCGCCTAGTGCAGGCGTCGGAATCCTTTACTTACATGTTATGTTTTGTGTTTTTATTGACCAACAGTTCATTTCAGCACACAGGCGTGCAGCAACATCCGAGACCCAACGGTTGTTCGATACAAGTTCAGTCAGAAGTTCGGACGTTCTCCCCCCCGCGAACTTCGTTATCATCTTCATCAGCGCAATCGTTATCATCATCGCAAGTGTCTTCATTGCCCCCGCCATCAGCATCGCTGTCATCTTTATCGCCATTGCCATCGTCGCCGTCGTCACCGCCGCCGTCGTCAACAATATTATCATTGTCATCGTTGTTGCTGTCGCCTGTTTCGTCAGCGCCACCAGCAGCATCAGCACCCTAGGCACGAACGACACGAGTCCTCGTGTCCTTACGCCAGTTGTGTTGTACCAACAAGTTGCGGGTGGGTAGGTGGGAGGTTTGCTCGAGGATTCGAGTTGACGTCGGGCATTTGAGTTCACCGCTCCAAGTTCGTCATAATTGGTTGCGCCGTGTGGATGTGCTCTTTTGCCGTAAAACAAGTAGACCCCCCCCCCCTCTTTCCTGGACTGATCTTTACCCCTCTGGTAGGGCGAGACAACATATGTTCGTGTATATGGTCATGCGCACGTGTTCATGCAATTTGCGTGTGCTTAACATCTGGCATACCAAAATGTGACAGTCTATGAGCACACATATTTACATGACCCACGCCAGGGTAGCATGCATGCGCACATCGCATGGTTGTAAGTCATGCGATACACGGCATGAACGAACACATGTTCGTTCAACATACGTTCATACAACATGCTGCACTATCATAGCGCCGTCTTGGGTCACACATAATGCCCTCTTGGGCCGTCTGTGGGCCGTCTTGGGGCCGTCTTGGATGCATCTTGGGGCCATCGCGAAGGCTTCGTAGGGCGTCTTGAGCTGACGGACGCCCGGCTCGGCGAGAATGCGAAAATCATTCAAAAGCCATAAGGAAATTACTGGTTCTGGCTTCTTTGGACCCTGTTGGAGTTCCCCTTGTGGCCCTTTCGGACCCTCTTGGAGGCGTTTTGGGCCGTCTCAGGTCATATTCGGCCGCCTTGGGGCCATCATGGGCTGTCTTCGAGGCATCTTGGGCCATCTTGGTGTCCTTGGTTGCCTGCATGGGCCGTCTTGGGAGGTCGTGACTCGGATCTATTGCTTCCAACGAGGTGTCGTGGCCTCGGGGGCGCGGAGCAATTTTTTCGAGGGACCGTGGTCTCGGGAGGGGGGGCCCATGCATGCAGAAGTCTGCGAGTAGACGTGTGTGTGTGTGTCTGTCTGTCTGTCTGTCTGTCTGTCTGTCTGTCTGTCTGTCTGTCTGTCTGTCTGTCTGTCTGTCTGTCTGTCTCTCTGTCTCTCTGTCTGTCTGTGTGTGTGTCCCTTCTAAGAGTAGAGACACCTTGCCAGGCAACGCTGGCATTTTACCACGCCTCAACGTGCAAGGGGGCACGGTGGCGGATATCTTTCTCGGCTCCCTCCCGCTCCCTCTCGCGTCTGCTTCTGCGCGAGTGTCCTTCAGCCCCCTCGCGCGGTCTGCCTCTGGGCGTGCAGGTCCGCAAGCAGAAGCTCAACGCCGAGATCGCGAACGGCCGATTGGCGATGGTGGCGATCATGGGCCTCATGTTCCAGAACGGCACCGTGGGCACCACTGGTCCGGAGATGTGGCTGGGCGCGAGTGCCTTCGAGAACGAGTTGGGCGTGCAGCCGCCCACTGGATTCTGGGACCCTGCGGGCTACTGCTCCGACGGAGACGCCCAGGAGTTCTACCGGCGCCGCTGCGTGGAGATCAAGCATGGCCGCGTGAGCATGATCGCGTGCATCGGCTACATAGTGCCTGAGTACTTCAAGTGGCCCGGCTACCTCAGCCCCTCCGACGGCATCAAGGCCCCTCCCTGGTCGTCCTCCAGTCCCCCCGACCACGCCACCCTCCTCATCCTCGTCGTCGTCGTCCTCCTCCTCCTGCTCCTACCTCCTCGTCGTCGTCGTCGTCCTCCTCCTCCTATCTCCTACCTCCTTCTGCCCCACAGTTCGCCGACGTCCCCCACGGCCTGGACGCCATCACGCGCGTGCCCGCCGTGGGTTGGTTCCAGATCGTGCTCTTCGGCCTGTCCATGGAGCTGTTCGCGGCCTACCAGGACCCCACTAAGCTGCCAGGCAAGCTCAGCTCCCGCCTGGTCATCGCCCTGACGGAGATCAGGAACAAGAGTATCGCGGGCGGCGTCAACAACTCAGGCTACGAGTTCGGCCCGTTCGGCATCCCCAACGCTCCGTCCATCAAGGACCCCGAGGCAGCTCCGAGCGACTGTCTGCGCTTGCGCTGATTCAAGTTCGACAGTACCGTTTTGCACCATTCGAAGATATGCGACTAGGCGGAAGATCAGATATGTAAAGTGCGGTGATCTTCCATGCCATTGTTACAACATGCTGATCTTGTTTGTAATGTCCCAATATGCTGGCAGTTTGTGTTTATGCCTGCATGTCTCGGGAGCTAGCGAAGACGGTTGGCACGGGGGGATCATTTGCCGTTGCTAGACTGGCGACGCAGCGCGTTGTGTGTTGGCAGTTTTAGTGGCATCCCGACAGCCCTTCCAGACCGCTTGCGGTGATATATGGGGTTGTGGTAGCCTCCACGAGGCAAGTCACACCGGAACCTTGCGTTTTGTTCTTTCCCTTCGTGTCGGGCCATCGAAGTGGCACGCGAGTTGTCATGTTGCCAGGGCTCCCCGCGTCCGCTTGTCGGACTCCTTCTGGCTCTTCTTCCTCTCCCCGTCTCTGTATTGATTTTGGTTCCCTCCCGCACCCCTCCTCGCATCTGCTTCTGCGCGTACCGTCTGAATATGGCTCCATCCCGCTCCCTCTCGCGACTGCTTCTGCGCGAGCGTCCTTCAGCCCCCTCGCGCGGTCTGCCTCGGGGCGTGCAGGTCCGCAAGCAGAAGCTCAACGCCGAGATCGCGAACGGCCGATTGGCGATGGTGGCGATCATGGGCCTCATGTTCCAGAACGGCACCGTTGGCACCACTGGTCCGGAGATGTGGCTGGGCGCGAGTGCCTTCGAGAACGAGCTGGGCGTGCAGCCGCCCACTGGATTCTGGGACCCTGCGGGCTACTGCTCCGACGGAGACGCCCAGGAGTTCTACCGGCGCCGCTGCGTGGAGATCAAGCATGGCCGCGTGAGCATGATCGCGTGCATCGGCTACATAGTGCCCGAGTACTTCAAGTGGCCCGGCTACCTCAGCCCTTCCGACGGCATCAAGGCCCCTCCCTCCTCGTCCTCCAGCCCCCCCCGCCACGCCACCCTCCCTCTCATACTCGTCGTCGTCGTCCTCCTCCTCCTCTTCCTCCCTTTCCTACCTTAGCCTCCTCCTCTTCCTCCTCCTCCCTCCTCCTTCCTCCTCCTCCTCCTCCTTCTCCTGCTCCTCCTCCTCCTCCTCCTCCTCCTCCTCCTCCTCCTCCTACCTCCTTCTGCCCCACAGTTCGCCGACGTCCCCCACGGCCTGGACGCCATCACGCGCGTGCCCGCCGTGGGTTGGTTCCAGATCGTGCTCTTCGGCCTGTCCATGGAGCTGTTCGCGGCCTACCAGGACCCCACCAAGCTGCCGGGCAAGCTCAGCTCCCGCCTGGTCATCGCCCTGACGGAGATCAGGAACAAGAGTATTGCGGGCGGCGTCAACAACTCGGGCTACGAATTCGGCCCGTTCGGCATCCCCAACGCTCCGTCCATCAAGGACCCCGAGGCAGCTCCGAGCGACTGTCTGCGCCTGCGCTGATTCAGGCTCGACAGCAGAGGATTGTACCATTCGAAGATATGCGATGTAGCTTGCTGTGAACTTCCATGCAATGGCTACAATGTCCTGTAATGTCCCAAGATGCTGGCAGTTTGTGTTTATGCCTGCATGTCTCGTGAGTTGTGCTAGCGAAGACGGTTGGCACGGGGAAATCACTTGCCGTTGCTAGACTGGCGACGCAGCGCGTGGTGCGTCAGCAGTTCTAGTGGCATCCCGGCAGGCCTTCCAGACCGCTTGCGATGATGTCGGGTATTGTAGTTGCGGGTTGGGGGTGTGGTAGCCTCCATGAGGCAAGTCACACCAGAACCTTGCGTTTTGTGCGTTGCGTCTGTGTCGTGTCATCGAAGTGGTACGCGAGTTGTCATGTTGTCAGGGCTCCCCGCGTCCGCTTGTCGGACTCCTTCTTCTGGGTCTTCTTCATCTCTGTCTATCTATTTCTCCGGGTCCCATCCCGCCCCCCCTCTCGAATCTGCTTCTGCGCGAACCGTCTGAATAAGGCCCCCTCCCACCCCCTCTCGCGACTGCTTCTGCGCGAGCGTCCTTCAGCCCCCTCGCGCGGTCTGCCTCTGGGCTTGCAGGTCCGCAAGCAGAAGCTCAACGCCGAGATCGCGAACGGCCGATTGGCGATGGTGGCGATCATGGGCCTCATGTTCCAGAACGGCACCGTGGGCACCACTGGTCCGGAGATGTGGCTGGGCGCGAGTGCCTTCGAGAACGAGCTGGGCGTGCAGCCGCCCACGGGATTCTGGGACCCTGCGGGCTACTGCTCCGACGGAGACGCCCAGGAGTTCTACCGGCGCCGCTGCGTGGAGATCAAGCATGGCCGCGTGAGCATGATCGCGTGCATCGGCTACATAGTGCCTGAGTACTTCAAGTGGCCCGGCTACCTCAGCCCTTCCGACGGCATCAAGGCCCCTCCCTCCTCGTCCTCCAGCCCCCCCGGCCACGCCACCCTCCTCATCCTCGTCGTCGTCGTCCTCCTCCTCCTCCTGCTCCTACCTCGTCGTCGTCGTCGTCGTCCTCCTCCTCCTATCTCCTACCTCCTTCTGCCCCACAGTTCGCCGACGTCCCCCACGGCCTGGACGCCATCACGCGCGTGCCCGCCGTGGGTTGGTTCCAGATCGTGCTCTTCGGCCTGTCCATGGAGCTGTTCGCGGCCTACCAGGACCCCACTAAGCTGCCAGGCAAGCTCAGCTCCCGCCTGGTCATCGCCCTGACGGAGATCAGGAACAAGAGTATCGCGGGCGGCGTCAACAACTCAGGCTACGAGTTCGGCCCGTTCGGCATCCCCAACGCTCCGTCCATCAAGGACCCCGAGGCAGCTCCGAGCGACTGTCTGCGCTTGCGCTGATTCAAGTTCGACAGCACTGTTTTGCACCATTAGAAGATATGCGACTAGGCGGAAGATCAGATACGTAAATTGCGATGACCTTCCATGTCATTGTTACAACATGCTGATCTTGTTTGTAATGTCCCAATCTGCTGGCAGTTTGTGTTTATGCCTGCATGTCTCGGGAGCTAGCGAAGACGGTTGGCACGTGGGGATCATTTGCCGTTGCTAGAGTGGCGACGCAGCGCGTTGTGTGTTGGCAGTTTTAGTGGCATCCCGACAGCCCTTCCAGACCGCTCGCGGTGATATATGGGGGTGTGGTAGCCTCCACGAGGCAAGTCGCACCGGAACCTTGCGTTCTGTGCTTCCCCTCCGTGTCGGGCCATCGAAGTGGCACGCGAGCTGTCATGTTGCCAGGGCTCCCCGCGTCCGCTTGTCGGACTCCTTCTGGCTCTTCTTCCTCTCCCCGTCTCTGTATTGATTTTGGTTCCCTCCCGCACCCCTCCTCGCATCTGCTTCTGCGCGAACCGTCTGAATATGGCTCCCTCCCGCTCCCTCTCGCGTCTGCTTCTGCGCGAGCGTCCTTCAGCCCCCTCGCGCGCGGTCTGCCTCTGGGCGTGCAGGTCCGCAAGCAGAAGCTCAACGCCGAGATCGCGAACGGCCGATTGGCGATGGTGGCGATCATGGGCCTCATGTTCCAGAACGGCACCGTGGGCACCACTGGTCCGGAGATGTGGCTGGGCGCGAGTGCCTTCGAGAACGAGCTGGGCGTGCAGCCGCCCACGGGATTCTGGGACCCTGCGGGCTACTGCTCCGACGGAGACGCCCAGGAGTTCTACCGGCGCCGCTGCGTGGAGATCAAGCATGGCCGCGTGAGCATGATCGCGTGCATCGGCTACATAGTGCCCGAGTACTTCAAGTGGCCCGGCTACCTCAGCCCCTCCGACGGCATCAAGGCCCCTCCTTTCTCGTCCTCCAGCCCCCCCCCGCCACGCCACCCTCCCTCTCATCCTCGTCGTCGTCGTCCTCCTCCTCTTCCTCCGCCTCCTACCTTAGCCTACTCCTCTTCCTCCACCTCCCTCCTCCTTCCTCCTCCTCCTCCTGCTCCTCCTCCTCCTCCTCCTACCTCCTTCTGCCCCACAGTTCGCCGACGTCCCCCACGGCCTGGACGCCATCACGCGCGTGCCCGCCGTGGGTTGGTTCCAGATCGTGCTCTTTGGCCTGTCCATGGAGCTGTTCGCGGCCTACCAGGACCCCACCAAGCTGCCGGGCAAGCTCAGCTCCCGCCTGGTCATCGCCCTGACGGAGATCAGGAACAAGAGTATCGCGGGCGGCGTCAACAACTCGGGCTACGAGTTCGGCCCGTTCGGCATCCCCAACGCTCCGTCCATCAAGGACCCCGAGGCAGCTCCGAGCGATAGTCTGCGCCTGCGCTGATTCAGGCTCGACAGCAGAGGATTTTACCATTCGAAGATATGCGACTAGGTGGAAGATCAAATATGTAGCTTGCTGTGAACTTCCATGCAATGGCTACAATGTCCTGTAATGTCCCAAGATGCTGGCAGTTTGTGTTTATGCCTGCATGTCTCGTGAGTTGTGCTAGCGAAGACGGTTGGCACGGGGAAATCACTTGCCGTTGCTAGACTGGCGACGCAGCGCATGGTGCGTCAGCAGTTCTACTGGCATCCCGACAGGCCTTCCAGACCGCTTGCGATGATGTCGGGTATTGTAGTTGCGGGTTGGGGGTGTGGTAGCCTCCATGAGGCAAGTCACACCGGAACCTTGCGTTTTGTGAGTTGCGTCTGTGTTGTGTCATCGAAGTGTTACGCGAGTTGTCATGTTGTCAGGGCTCCCCGTGTCCGCTTGTCGAACTCCTCCTTCTGGGTCTTCTTCATCTCTGTCTATCTATTGCGAAGGCCTTACGGCCGTTGCCGCCGACCCTGAAGATGACGAAAGACAACACGAGGGGGGGGGCAGGAGGAGGAGGAGGAGGAGGAGGAGGAGGAGGAGGCGGAAGGGAGTAGGAGGAGGAAGGGTGAAGGGGGAGGAGGAGGAGGCCTTATGGATGTTGGTTGGGATCTCGTGGTTGACCTCTCGGGGGCGTCTGGAAGGCAACTTGAAGCCTCTTGGGGGCCGTTGTGGGGCCTCTTGGGGCCTCTTTTGGGCCTCTTGGGGCTTCCGGAGGCCGTCTTCGGCGCATCTTGGGGGCGTCTTGGCGCCGCTCGGGGGCCTCTTGGGGCCTTTTGGGGGCCTCTTGGGGCTTCCCGGGGGCCTCTTAGGGCGGAAGTCTCGAATTCTCGGTTCCTCGTCCCCCTCTTGGCCGTTTCTTGGGCCCGTCTTGGGGCCCTATTGGGCCGTCTTGGGCGCCTCTTAGGCTGTCCTGGGGCCTTCTTGGGCCGTCTTGGGGCCCTCTTGTAGGCCTCTTGGGGCGCTCTTGGGGGCCTCTTGGGGGCCTCTTGGGCCGTCTTGGAGTGTCGGAAAGCCGAAAAGGCGAGAAGGCCAAAATCATTCAAAAACCTATGTAAAATTGACGATTTTGGCGCCTGGGGCCCTCTTGGGTGTGCTCTTGGGGCTCTCTTGGAGCGTCTTGAGGGCCTCTTGGGCCGTCTTCGGGTCGTCTTGGGCGTCTTGGGGCCATCGTTCGTCGAGTCGAGGCCCTCTTGTACACTTTCGGGGGTGTCTTCTGTCGCTCTTGGCTCGTCTTGAAGCTTTTCTGAGCTCCGGGACCCCCCGGGGAGGATGCGTATCTGGGTGGCGACCCCCCCGCGGGACCCCCCCTGGCGACCCCCCCCCGCGACCCCCCCCCCCTCCCCCCGGCGGGGAGGGTAGGGAGGGGCTTCGCCACGACTCAACTACGACGTTGCTCAATGTCGCTTTGGCTCGCGCGCTCAAGGAGACGGGGAACGACGAAGACGACGAGGGACAACGGAGACGGAGACGACGAGGACACGACGGAGACGACGACGACGACGACGACGACGACGACGGTGATCCACGCAAGACGACGACACCGGGATGCGTCTTCCACACGCCGACAGGGTCGGCGGATTTCCCTGGGTCCCATCCCGCCCCCCCTCTCGAATCTGCTTCTGCGCGAACAGTCTGAATAAGACCCCCTCCCGCCCCCTCTCGCGACTGCTTCTGCGCGACCGTCCTTTAGCCCCCTCGCGCGGTCTGCCTCTGGGCGTGCAGGTCCGCAAGCAGAAGCTCAACGCCGAGATCGCGAACGGCCGATTGGCGATGGTGGCGATCATGGGCCTCATGTTCCAGAACGGCACCGTGGGCACCACCGGTCCGGAGATGTGGCTGGGCGCGAGTGCCTTCGAGAACGAGCTGGGCGTGCAGCCGCCCACGGGATTCTGGGACCCTGCGGGCTACTGCTCCGACGGAGACGCCCAGGAGTTCTACCGGCGCCGCTGCGTGGAGATCAAGCATGGCCGCGTGAGCATGATCGCGTGCATCGGCTACATAGTGCCTGAGTACTTCAAGTGGCCCGGCTACCTCAGCCCCTCCGACGGCATCAAGGCCCTTCCCTCCTCACCCTCCTGCCCCCCTCGTCGTGGTGGTGGTCGTCGTCGTCGTCGTCGTCGTCGTCCTCCTTCTTCTTCTCCTCCTCCTCCTCCTCCTACCTTCTCCTCCTCCTCGTCCTACCTCCTCCTCCTCCCTCCTCCTCCTCCTCCTCCTCCTCCTCCTCCTCCTCCTCCTCCTCTGCCTGCCTCCTCCTACCCCACAGTTCGCCGACGTCCCCCACGGCCTGGACGCCATCACGCGGGTGCCCGCCGTGGGTTGGTTCCAGATCGTGCTTTTCGGCCTGTCCATGGAGCTGTTCGCGGCATACCAGGACCCCACCAAGCTGCCAGGCAAGCTCAGCTCCCGCCTGGTCATCGCCCTGACGGAGATCAGGAACAAGAGTATCGCGGGCGGCGTCAACAACTCGGGCTACGAGTTCGGCCCGTTCGGCATCCCCAACGCTCCGTCCATCAAGGACCCCGAGGCAGCTCCGAGCGACTGTCTTTGCTGATTGAGGTAATGTGCTGATGCGGGTTTGGCAGCAAAGGTTTGCATCCGTTGAAATGAGAATGCAGCAGTCTTGCAAACTCAGAATATATAGTCCAACTAATGTGGGAGGTTGTTGGCGGAGGACGGATTTGATTTCAAAGTGTACTGCAACGATTGCAAGACAATTCATCACGTGCTGTCTCAGGACGACGGTCACGTGTGTGACCTATGCCGCACTAGTGTGCTAGCGAATGCGGCACACACACCGGCTGCCAAGCTGGACTGGCGACGCAGCGTGTGGTGTATGAGCAGTTCTGGTGGCGGTGCATCAGGATCTATGGATAGCTTACCATTTCGGCGAAGCATAAGCACGGGGTCGTCTGCGTGGCCATTCGCGCGGAAGCTGCCCGCACAACTCTCTCCCACGCGGTGCGCCGCGTTTGCGGCCTGAGACATCCACCGCCTTCTCATGCGTCGTGAGCGAGCTATCAGGGCGGTGAAGGGTCGACCCGACTCATTTGTTTGTTGCCTTATGTTTTTGTTTGTTCTATCTCTCTATCTCTTCCTCTCCATCCATTATTTTCTCTCGGCCTTCTCGGTCCTCCTCTGGCAACTGCCCTCGTATCAGCTGGTCTCTCGCAGTCTCTTTTTCCCTGCGTCCCTCACCTCTCGCTCACGGAGTAGCTCACAGTGCTCTTTCCGATCGACCTTCCCCCTCGCCACGGAGGTCCGCAAGCAGAAGCTCAACGCCGAGATCGCGAACGGCCGATTGGCGATGGTGGCGATCATGGGCCTCATGTTCCAGAACGGCACCGTGGGCACCACCGGTCCGGAGATGTGGCTGGGCGCGAGCGCCTTCGAGGCGTGTGGGGGGGGGGGTCGGGCTCCACCCGTGGAGGGCACGAGCGATGGCCGCTCGGCAGCCGCTGGCACGCCTCTCTGCGGCGATCGTGCAGGGACGCGCAGTACGTGAAGCCGTTCTCCGAGTCCATTTCCATGCAGCTCTCACTCCCCACTGCTGGTGAATGTTCTGCCCTGGGTGTTTGTCTCCACCTCCGTGGCTGTCTCCGTCTGTCTTCAGTTCTGTGCGTCTGTAGTTGTATCCCTGATCAGGCGTGTCGCGTCGTCCAGGATCTGGGGTCCTGGCGGCGACTTGTGTGCGACCCAGAGGAAGCGCAACTGAACTTTCACATTCTGAGGGTTTTGCAGGGTGTTGGAATGTAACGTGAAGTGCAGGCAGTTTTGTTCAAGCATGCGTTTTCTTGGCTCATGGATCCGAATCTGACCACCTGGCTCCGTCTTACTTCATCAAAGGTCGGAGGGGCTTCCTTCTGCCCTCCCTCCTTCCCTCGGAAGCTGGCCGACCTCTAGCCTGTCCTGACCGCCCTCGATGCCTTCCGCTGCTGCCCGCCTCCTCTCCCAGGCGGCCCGTGATGCCCTGGCGCACCACGGCGCACTTCTCAGCGCCGCCAGGTGCCGCCCAGCGTGGGCTTCCGACGGCACCTGCCCCTGCCCTCGGGCGACGAAATCTATACATATCCACTGCTCCCTGGCCAGGCCCATCCTGAACCCAGGAGTTGTGCATACGCCCTCCTGGCCACGCCAGGAGGGCGCAGCGTATACACAGCTGCTGGGTTCAGGATGGGCCTCGCCAGGGAGCAGTGGATATGTATAGATGTCGTCGCCCTATGCCCCTGCCTCCTCCGGGCAGCTTGCGGGGCAACCGACCAGCCGCGGGCGGCGGGGCCCCCCCCCACCGCGGGGCCTGGCCGCCGCGCGCCCCCCGCGGGGGCCTCCGTGGCTCCGCCCCTCGGCCCGGCCGCGGCAGCCCGCGGAGGGCCGCGGCCCGCGGCGCTCGTCGGCTCTGCGCGCTCTCTCCAGTGGCCGCGGGCGCCGGCGGCCGGGGCCCTTCGAGGAGCACGGCCAGGGGTGCGGCCTCGGGCGGACCGGGGCGCCGTGGGGCGCAGCACGGGGGGCTCCGCCTCCTCCTCCTCCTCCTCCTCCTCCTCCTCCTCCTGCGACGCGCGCCCGCGAGCGGCGGCTGGGCCGCGCTCTGGGGGTGGGCCGGGGCCAGGGGTTCGGTCGGCAGCAGATCATGGGAGCCTGCTATGCCTTCTTGATCCCGTCTTCAGCGTCGATTGGCGTCGATTAGCGTCTGGGAGTCGATGGGGCAGCACCGATTTAGCGTCGGTGAGAGCCGATCAGCGTCGATTTGGCGTCGATTTGGCGTCGGTTTAGCGTCGACTAGCGTCGATTCGCAAGAGCCGGCAAGATGGCATGGGAGGCTCCCATGAGTTGCCATCGAAGGTTCGGGGGCGCCGCGCGCCCGCGAGCGGCGGCTGGGCCGCGCTCAGGGGGCGGGCCAGAGCTTCGGCCTCGGTCTCTTCGGGAGGTGCCAGGGAGGCTCGGGGGCGGCTCTGGGGCGACGGTGCGAGAGCCTTCGCGGCCGGGACCTCCGCGGTCTGCGCGTGTGCACCGTCGCAGGCTCGCGCCCCGGCACTGCGTGACGGCGTGGGGTGCGCCGGTGCCCGCTAAGCAGACGTGGGCGCACTGGGAGTTCGGGCTCCTCTCGCAGTGGGAGCTCAGGGCTGCTCAAGCCGTCGACGCCTCCAACAGAGGTGGTCGTCTGAGCGCAGTAGCGCCCACCTGGTGCTGCAGCCTCTTGCGGCTCTCTGGGAAGGGCAACGTCAGAGGCGACAATGGTCGTTGAGTCGCTTTGGTTTGCTGGCTGCACCGAGTGCACGCTGCGTGCATGTTGTGTACGCGTTGCGAGCGTATTTTCCTTTGTTTGTTTGTGTGAGTGTTGCTGTTGTCACTGTGTGGGCACCACGTTCGCGCTGTGCGCGCTTTTGTCTTTCTTTTCCAATCGCGGGGCCCTATACGTTTGCATTCATACCATGTTTATTGTGCTGTTTTCGGATTCTTGCGCTTCGCGCATCTCTTAACGGGCGAATGACGGTATAAAATAAACTTTTTCGCTGTCGGGGGCGCCTGTCCCAGGGCGGCTGGAAAGTTTATACCCCTACGGTGCCACTGTAAGGGTATAAACTTTCCAGCCGCCCAGGGACACGCGCCCCCGACAGCGAAACAGTTTATTTTATACCGTTATTCGCCCGTTAAATCTCCACAGGCGACGTGACCTCGGTGCTGATTTGCGATGCCTCGCCATTTTGGCTGCGCTGAGCCCAGCTTCTGAGCCGGGCGCCGCTCTCCTCACTTTTTTTTTTCCTTTGCTTCGGCGCGGCCCGCCCTAGCTTTGCCCGGCTTTCGACTTGCTTCGCGAGCCCGCGTACCCAAAGTATCTCCACAGGCCTATCCAGAAGTGATGCCTTGGGCATTTACCAGGAGAAGGGACGTGTATAGGCCAACACTGGTGATCCTCAGAGGCCTTCGGGAGCCTCTTTGAGGCTTCTCGGAGCCATCTTGGAGCTCTCTTGGAGCTCTTTTTGGAGTCGGCTTGGCGCTCTTGGAGCTCTTTTAGGACTCTCGTGGGGGCCTTTGGGGCCATCTTGGAGGACATCGATCAAAGAAGGGGGGTCCAAATTACGCCCCCTCCCCGAGGGGGTGAAGAAATCGTCTCTTGGAGCCCTCTTGAGCACTAATGAAGCGCTCTCGTGGACCCTTGGGGCCGTAGTGAAGCCCTCCTGAGCCCCTCTTTTGGATTTTCTTCGGTGATCTAGGAGTCACTTTGAGGCATCCGATGCCCATCGGACGCGTAACAGAGTGTTTTGTCAGATTTGGACCTCTCGGGGGGTTACTTTAGTAGAGGCTCTGTGGCCAACTGGAAACGCCTCGGGGCGGTCTTGGGGCCTCTTGGAGCATGTTTGAAGCCATATCGAACTATCTGAAACTAGATGGGGCCATCTTGTGGGCATCCAAAACCATCTTGGGCGCTCTAACCCGTCGCGGCGCTACTGGGAACCAATACAGACGACAGGAACGCGAAGCCAACGAGGTGCTCCACACGTGCCATGCGCGCCACGCGCGCCAAGTGCGCCAGGAACCCCAGGGGGTCAAGCGCGCCAGGCACGCCTGGTGCGCCAGATGCGACACGTGCTCCACATGCGCCAAGTGTGCCATGTGCTCCACCCGCGCCAGGTGCGCCATTGCACGTGACCGCCCACTTCGGAAAACATGTCAGCCCCCCCATCATCACTGTCAAAAACCGATGCAACATGGCGGCGAGGTGGCCATCATGTTGTATAGCATGTGCGCCCGTAATCACCTTGCACTTGTTCCCCACATGTTTCGTGGGGTTCTGGTTTTCTGCTCTGCCGCGTCGCACCCGCGTCTCCTCACACACACCTCCCCCCCCCCACACACACAGCACAGCACAGCTCAGCACAGCTCATCACAGCTCAGCTCAGCACAGCACAGCTCAGCAGGCCATGGCGCAGGGCACGGCATGCGTGACACTTTCTCGACACCAGAGAGGGTGCGCAGGGGGTGGTCCATCAGCGCGGTCTCTATGCGCGCCAGGGTCGGAGAGCGTGGCAGGAGTGGCACTTTCTCGACACCGGAGAGGGTGCGCAGGGGGTGGTCCCTCAGCGCGGTCTTTCTGCGCGCCAGGGTCGGAGAGCGTGGCAGGGGTGGCACTTTCTCGACACCAGAGAGGGTGCGCAGGGGGTGGTCCCTCAGCGCGGCCTCTATCCGTGACACGCTCGCAGATCGTGGCAGGGGTGGCACTTCCTCGTCACCAGAGGGGGTGCGCAGAGGGTGGTTCCTCAGCGCGGCTTCTATCTGTGACACGCTCGCAGATCGTGGCAGGCGTGGCACTTTCTCGACACCACAGGGGGTGCGCAGAGGGTGGTCCCTCAGCGCGGCCTCTATCCGTGACACGCTCGCAGATCGTGGCAGGAGTGGCACTTTCTCGACGGGGGTGCGCAGAGGGTGGTCCCTCAGCGCGGCCTCTATCCGTGACACGCTCGCAGATCGTGGCAGGAGTGGCACTTTCTCGACACCACAGGGGGTGCGCAGAGGGTGGTCCCTCAGCGCGGCCTCTATCCGTGACACGCTCGCAGATCGTGGCAGGAGTGGCACTTTCTCGACACCACAGGGGGTGCGCAGAGGGTGGTCCCTCAGCGCGGCCTCTATCCGTGACACGCTCGCAGATCGTGGCAGGAGTGGCACTTTCTCGACACCACAGGGGGTGCGCAGAGGGTGGTCCCTCAGCGCGGCCTCTATCCGTGACACGCTCGCAGATCGTGGCAGGAGTGGCACTTTCTCGACACCACAGGGGGTGCGCAGAGGGTGGTCCCTCAGCGCGGCCTCTATCCGTGACACGCTCGCAGATCGTGGCAGGAGTGGCACTTTCTCGACACCACAGGGGGTGCGCAGAGGGTGGTCCCTCAGCGCGGCCTCTATCCGTGACACGCTCGCAGATCGTGGCAGGAGTGGCACTTTCTCAACACCACAGGGGGTGCGCAGAGGGTGGTCCCTCAGCGCGGCCGCTATGCACGACGGTCGTCCAGGGCATAGCAGGCGTGGCATTGTATCGACACCATAGAGGGTGCGCAGAGGGTGGTCCCTCACCGCGGCCGCTATGCACGACGGTCGTCCAGGGCACTTTCTCGACACCATAGAGGGTGCGCAGGGGGTGGTCCCTCACCGTGGCCGCTGGCTGGCTCGAATCTGTCCTCGATGGAGGATAGAAGGCTAGGAAGAGGGAGGAGGTTCAAGCAATAGGGCGTTGGATGACACATAGGGGAACATTCGCGACGAGGGCTCAGAACGCAGAATTGCGCATAGATTATAAACTTAAGCAAACACATAAGATTTAAATCATGTATGTGGGGTTCCTCGGTAGCGTATTTTTTGACAGGGATGGTGTGCCCGCGCGCACTGGACAATCTGAGGGTACCT